TTGTGAGCCACCATGTGGTTGCTGGGAATTGAACTCAGGACCTTTGGAAGAGCAGGCAATGCTCTTAACCTCTGAGCCATCTCTCCAGCCCCACCCATTTTTAATAAAGAACAAAACAGTAAGTAGATCCCCACGACACACAGGGTCTCTCACAGCCATCTTGATTATGTAGCTGAGGACAGTTGTGAGCTACTGCCCTCCTCCTGCCTGTGTTTTCTTAGTGTCTGCATTACTGTGCCTAGATTCTTTAACTACGTTTTCAAAAATCCTTTTTTTTTTTTTTAAATATTGAAAGTGATTAGCAGCAGGTGCAGACCTGTCATCCCAGCACCCAGGACTGAGGTAAGAGAAACAGCAGTTCAAGGCCAACCTGGACTACAAAGTAAGACTGTCTCTTTAAATAAACAGTAACTCACAATTTTTATCTCTGCCTTTACCCTTATATCTCCTGTTGACCTTATATACCCCATTGACCCTCTTCCTCAATGTGTAACTTGTTAAACACACACACAAAACTTATAGTGGTAATAATAATTTTAAAAATGCAAACATCAAACTTTAATCATGGTGGCACACATCTTCAATCCTAGCACTTTGCAAGCAGAGACAAGTGGATTTCTATGAATTTCAGGCCAGCCAAGGCTATATATTGCGACCTGGACCCAAAACAAACAAACAATTAAATTCAATTATGTTTTAGCCTCCCCCCTTTTATGATTTTTATAAGACTGAGCACAGAAAATAAAAAAGTTTGAATTATTAAAAAATGAAAAATATAAGAAGCATTTATACCTATAGAGGAAGACTGTGGACTAATCAGAAGGTCCTCTTGAACTGGTTCACTTCCTGGCACTGTCTGCTGATCACTCAGTGAGCTCTGAGAGGCACTGACAGGCTGGGACACTTCCTCATGGACTTCCTCATCACTTAATCTTTCTACTTTGACCTGCACATCTTCTTCTGTACCTAGAGGCAAGGTAGCTTTTGTGCTCTCACAAGTCACGTAGTCCGTCACTCTTCTACCTGCCTCAGAAGGGCCAGGCAACTCTAAAGTCCGGGTATTTTCTGTCTGCTTTGCTTTCTCAGGCTGAATCCTTCGATCAATGCCAAAAGGGAAAGTCCATGGAAAAGCTAAAGAAGAGTCAACTGGCTGATTTCTATTATCTGCATAGGAAGTTGAGGAATTCAATACCTGGGGTGAACTTGTTTGTGTACTACATTTTACAGGACTCTCGGGAGACATAACAATGTAGCTTTTGCGTTTTCTCCGGGATTCTCGGCAGACAGGAATGGTCCTTTCCACAACACTGCACTCTGAAGACACTGGAGAAATACTTCCATCTCGAGAAGTAAAATTGCAATTAGAACTATTTTCTTGCCCAGCATCTAGACCCTTTTCAGGTTGGCTACTGGGTGTATTCCACAAAATACTTGATTTCATGAACTCTGAACAGGTACTAGCAACACTAAACATTTGCATATAGCTGGCTGCAGCTAGAACATCAATAATATTTTCTGTATTAATTGACAGAGTGGCTGTGTAAGCGTATTCTAAAAGAGGTATAAAGCCAGTCACTGTAACATGATGAAGATCCAACACATTTTTGTTCTCATCCTCTGCTTGGCCCACAAGTTTTGTGCGAAAGAAATCACTGCAAGCTGCTAGTACCACCTTATGAGCCCGGAAGATTTTATCCTGGACACGAATAGTGATATCACAAAAATGTCCATCATTTCGTAACATATTTAGTTTTCCCAGCATTTCCTGGCTGTGGGAAGAGGAGCTGTGAGTAAATGTTTTCACACCCATCTTTTTTTTCCTCTTCTACTGATGCTCTTCAAGGATGCAATAAATCAGAAATGTCCTAAAAAATATAGAAAACAAAACACAAAATGACATCTTAATAGCTGAAATGGACTATTTACCATTTTCATGTAACCACTGTGCCAAATAAAAAGCCTAAAATAAGACAGTGAAAAATCTCAGGTATGGGAGGTATTAAGATATATTTTCTGGTCTGTTGTTGTATCAAATTCCTATAATCCTAGTAAGGAGACTGCCACAAGCTCAAGGCCAATCTGTGCTACACAGTAAGTTTGAAGACAATTTGGACTACAGGATAAGATCCTGTATCAAATAAATACAATGAATGCACAAATAATAAAAATATATTCTCTATGCCATCAACCAGTGGTCTTATTAATGAGCAGCATTTTTTAATTTCTTTTATTTATTAAAGATTTCTGCCTCCTCCCCGCCACCGCCTCCCATTTCCCTCCCCCTCCCCCAATCAAGTCCCCCCCCCATCAGCTCAAAGAGCAGTGAGGGTTCCCTGCCCTGTGAGAAGTCCAAGGACCTCCCACCTCCTTCCAGGTCTAGTAAGGTGAGCATCCAAACCGCCTAGGCTCCCACAAAGCCAGTACGTGCAGTAGGATCAAAACCCAGTGCCATTGTTCTTGACTTATGAGCAGCATTTTTTTTAATTTATTATGTATACAACATTCCTTCCATGTATGCTTGCATGCCAGAAGAGGGCACCAGATCTCATTATAGATGGCTGTGAGCCATCATGTGGTTGCTGGGAATT